AAAATTTTCTTCAGATCAGATTTTAGAATTGAGGGTGCTATTTGGAGCATCACCACGGCCACTGTTTTAATAATTTCAACTTTTTATTTTATTAAGTATTTTATATATTTTATCGGTATAAAATATTAAATTAATTTGATAATTTTAATTTATTTAATTTATCATATTTTTTAATAAAAAAATATTTTTAAAAATAAATCATTTTTTTTTGCGACAAATGTAATAAATTGAACAAGTTATCAACCTAATTTTTTTTTTTATGAATGAAATATATAAAATATTCGGCAAAATAAATTGTTCGAATCATTGAAACGAGACTCGTGATAGATTTCACATGTCCACACAGCGCCTTTGAGTCCAAAATTTGGACTAAAAGGGATCATTCTCCAAAAAAATATTTGTCCCAAAAAAGAGAATCTAACTTTTTTAGTAACCATAATTATTACATTTTAAAAATATCAACTTTTCAACATTATGCTTTGGTAGTATATTTTTTTTGAAAATATTGATTGTCATAATTATAGTTTGTATGTTGTTAATGAAGTTAAAAAAAAAAAAATTATATTATTTTAGTTTTTAATTTTCGAAAGGAGACTAAAAATTTAGAATAAAAAAAATGAAATAATAGGTGAATATTTTAAGACGGAAGGAGTATTGAAGGTTGTAGTTGGCCAACTGCAGATAAAGTGTCTCTATAGGTCATGAAGTGATCGAAAGGCTGTTAAAAGGTGGATATGACGGGTGGTGACTGACCGATGGAATTGTTAGATCTGGTTGAACTTGTTGGTTGCCAACAGCGGAGAGGTTGGGGTTTGGTGGTGGCCAAATGTGATAATTTTACTAGATTTAAAATATATATATATATATATATATCTTAGAGGATTACAATTGAAAATTATAAATTAACTCATAACAATGTGATAAGATGGTAGGACTTTATATAATTGAGTTTATGAGAAATTAAAAGTTGATATGTGTCTTGTCATATCATTATGGATTAAATTGTGATAGATTTTTTGGGTGTTTTTGAAAATCAATTTTACTTTTTTGAAAATAAAACCAATCACTGTGTTTGGTTTCAATTTTTTTAAAATTAATAAGTTTTTTATTGTTTTGTTTTTTGTGAATATTGTCAATTCTATAGTTTGATTTTGATGATATCTAAAATATTATGAGATAAATTGTAATTTTTTATTATATATTTTTTATAATCATTTGACACAAAATATGAAAATAAAATTTATCATTTTGATATAAATTGCACCGATTTAAATATAACTAAATTTATTATATATCTTTTGAATATTTTAATTTAATATTCTAAAAGAAAATTCAAATTCTTTCTATATCTTTTCTTATTCATTTTATTCCTTTGATTGATTTGAAGTGTTAATTTAATAAGAATGATGCTAGTCTAAAAGGCTAGTGAATTAAAATGAAAGAAAAATAGAAGGGAAGAGGAGCATACCTATAATCCTTTTGCAACGGCTAGTTTTTTCTATAGCGATAGAAGAAGCTTTGTGGAGAAAATAAAATACATAAAACTGGTGAAAATTTTGAGTGATATTTAAGAGTTCTTAAAATATTGTGTGGTGCATTTTATTATCATTCTTTTAACATAGAGTATATTGAGAATTTGAGCTTTTTATTGTAAAAAGGTTTTCAATCCCTTATTATTTTTCTTATAAAAGAGAGTTATATTTTTGTGAGTGATTTTTTTAGATAAAATTACTTGGGTTAGGTATGACTAACACCGGATTCACAACTAATTGGTTGGAGTGATTGGGGTTGATCAATTGTTAAGGTTCACTAGCACCTGTAAAGTTAGGAGTATAATTTTTATTTGACGAATAGTGAAGAAATCTCAAGGAGAATCTCGAGGAGTGGACATAGGTTTGATTTGAGCCGAACTACTATAAATTTTGTGTTTGCTATCTCCCCCTTTCCTTCACTTAATTTATTTATATTAGCCTCATTTATATTTGGATTAAATTTTAATTTATTACTCATCTGTATTGTTTTATATTGTTAATTATTTATTATTTGGGTAATTTTTTAATTTAGCAATTTATTTAGAAACCCAATTCACCCTCTTCTTAGGTTGCTTTACAGGTAACAAATATTTTTAAAATTTTAAGTATTTTTTTGGGTTAATTATACTAATAGTCCCTATAGTTTGGGACTTGTGTCACTTTGGTTCTTGACTTTTCAATTGTAATACATTTGACTCTAAATTTTGAATGTTGTTTCAAATAAAGACAATTGAAAATATCATTAGATTTTTCAAGGGTAAAATTGCCAATTTGATAAAATATAAACTAATTTGACAAAAATAAATGTCAAAAAAATATTTTTAATTTTTTTAAAATTATTTTTATCCACCAATGATAAAATTATGTAAAATTAATAAAAAAAAATACATGATTAATTTTTTAAAATTAATTTTACATGATCATTATCCAAACACATATTAAAAATTAATTTGGTAAAAAAAAAAATAAATGTCTAAAAGATTTATCAATTTTACATAATTTTATTTTTAGTAGGTAGAAATAATTTTTAAAAATTCAAAAATATTTGTTTGACATCTATTTTTTTTCAAATTAGTTTATATTTTATCAAATTAACAATTTTACCCTTGAGAAATCTAATTATATATTCAATTGTCCTTATTTGAAACAAGATTCAAAATTCAGGGTCAAATATGTCACAGTTGAAAAGTCAGGGACCAAAGTGAGGGACCAAAGTGACACAAGCCCCAAACTATAGGGACTATTGTGTAATGCCCTATTTTTTTAAAAAAAAATTTATATGCACCTTACTTAGATTTATCTAAAAAGTAAAAGTTTGTCAAAAAATAATTTAAAAAATCAATAATATACACAAGAATACGAAAATGTATTGAATTCTCATTTTTTTTATTTAAATTTTTTGGTATTTAGCTAATTTTTTGAAGTTTTTTTTCATAAATATTATACTTTTTAAATGTATTTATGTTAGGTGTCTCTAAAAATTTAAAAAATTACTTAAAATATTGAAAAACCTAAATGAAAACAGAAAAATACGGGAAAAAAAGTTAATTTAAAAAAAAATAAATCCTGAAACCAAACACGTTGAATAAATTTTCTTATTTTTAATTTAAAAAATAAAAATAAAAATTAGAAGGTTACCAAATGAAGCCTTATTTATTTATTTGTTTTTGTCAATCTCCCGTTGGTTCATATAAATTAATAATTGCGATGCATTTGTGATATGATCACTATAGTTTTGTTTATGAAAATGACTTTTCTGGTTTAAAAAAAAAAAAAAAGTCTCCTAGGCTTAGGTAGATGAAACAAACTATTTTTTAATATTTTTAGACTCATATTCACATATTATACCGTTGTTGAGATATGATTGAAAATTCATGTAAATTTTTAAAAGATAAATATGAAATTGGGTAATATTCTATCAAATTCAGTAAATGTAACAACAAATTTAAAATTTAGATTTAAAAAAAATTGGCTGTGAAGCTAGAAATTCATAACAATTTGGGTTCAAACAAGTTCAACCCCCCCCCCCAAAAAAACATAGGGGAAATTACCCACAGGTCCCATGTGAAATATGTGGACACCATTTAATCTCATAACTTTTTGGATACACCCAAAAGTCCTTTCTTCAATCTCTCTGATTTTTTCCTCCCTTTTTACGTTTTCTTCTTTCTCTTTTTTTCTACATTTTTCTCTCATCGTCTTCGTCATAGACGATGGTGCAAGTGTTCATGCCTTTCTCCATTGATCGGGGTTCACTGATAACCGCCAACCATCGAAATCAACTCGTGATTTCACTTTCACCGACGGCGAAGATATATATTTCCGACGAAGAAGATGAGTGGATCTACTCAGATCTGATATAGATCAGATCTACATCAGATCTGAGTAGATCTACATCAGATTTGGCTAGATCTAAACAAAAAATAGTTGTCGGAGTACAATCCTCTCTCTACATCCGCCTTTCTCCTTACTCTTTTTTTTTTCTCTGCTATACACTTCTGTTTTTCTGTTCTAATGGAGAAAATTTTCGAATTCTGAACAAGTAGTTTTCGAGTTTTAGTTACAGGCGGTGAAAACTGTAAAATTTTGCAGTTTCAAATTTTTTTTTTGGTGCTGGAATGAATCATGGTTTAAAACTGTAAAATTTTGCAGTTTTATAACATTCTTTAGAACTGTAAAATTTTACAGTTTCATAACATGTTTTTTAAATTTTTTTTTCCGGCAATATTCTAGACATTCCGGTGAGTCTTCGATGACCGTTAAACGGAAGTCCGACGGTAGTAAGATGTGAACAGTGTCTGTAAATTAAAAAAAAAAAAAAAAGAATTTTTTGGTAACAATTAAAAATGTATTGGACTAATTGGTGCAAGTGTTTTGTTTTGGGATTTGCTGGATCTTGAACTTGGTATATGAGACTTATCAGTAAGTTCCCCAAAAACATACAAGCAAGGGATATCTGTACAACTTGAAATTGAGCCCAAATTTCCAAAAAGTGGACCTAATAGCCCAATTTATTTCCAACTTGGTGGTCCATGCAATTGCAAATCAATATCAATGGCCTTAGTGGGCTCAAGCCTATTAGTATGAATGAGGCTATATTTTGTATTTGGATTAATCCTGTGTGAAAGAAAAATAGAAATATTTTTTATATTATTACTATTTTAAGGATAATTTAAAATGATTTTTTGACTAATATCTTTTTTTAAACCAACAAAAAATTTAGGAAATTAAATAGTATCTTTTAATTCATTACCGATCAGTAACGGCGTCAAAAAAGAAAAAGAGAGAAAAATAAAAGTATCAGATAATAATAAGTGAATGCAAATGAGAAATACCTTATTTTCACCATGTACATATTTCACCCACATTCCATTAATTTGCAAATGCTTTTCATATTTCCATTTATTTGATATTCCATTATTAATATTTAATTAGACTATTATTATAACAACTATTTATAACCATATATGATACAAACTCTACATAGCATTTACATACAACGTACACATTAGAGCCGCCAATATGAAGGAGAAGAGGAAAATAAAGCGACTGGTACAATTAAATTGACCTTATTTTAAGACACAAAATTATGACTATATATATTATATATAGTTACTAATTAAACCCCCAAAATATTAAATACACAGAAATAGAAATAAAATTGTACAATTGAGATTTATTCTAAATGCGTGAGATGAAATTTTCTTCGGTGCACGTAGTCCACAAATGCAGCAGCTTGAGCTAGTGAGTCCATCATGGTTCCATTTCGGTACATTGAGCCATTAATGTTATAGACTCTTGCACGTAGATCATTCATAAAAAAAAATAAGTTGATCTAATAATTGTGTTCACTTAACTTTATTATATTTATCAGTAAAAAACGAACGATAGATCGTCTATTTTATAAAGAAAAATATAAGAAATTATATGGTTACAATTATCAAGTCAATTTATTTTTTTTCTCCCCCTTTCATATATGATCTACACATAAATGCTCACGGAATAAATTATTCAAACCACTAAAATAAGACCCTAATAATTAGACATTCAAGTCCACTTTGTAGATTGAAGAGAAATCTCTCCTTAATATTAATCTCAAGTCCACGTAGTGTTTTCGATTAGAGCCAGATGGCTCCGGCATCTCTAAGCATCTTCTTGAGAGAGCCATTGAGATGGAGGGACATGACGGTGTTAGCAGAGCCCACAAATTTGCCACCGATGAACACGGCCGGGACAGCGGGGTTGCACCCTAGTCGCATGAGAGCCCACTCCATGTCCCTCCCTTTCGAGTCCTCGTCGAGCTCGTGGACCGTTGGGCTCACCCCTTGCTCGTAAAACAGCCTCTTGATTGCATGGCACATGCAGCACGAGCTCTTGCTGAAGATCACCACTGCTTTTTGCGACGCCAACCTCGCCACGCGATCCATCTCCAATTCGTCGCAACTGTTGCAAAATTAAACTTGATTTTAGATAATTAAACTTAATTTTAAATAATTATGTGCTTGTAGTATAGTAATTTTTATACATATGATACATGAAGGTGCAGAACTAGAATTTTATGTGTTGGAGGATTTTAAATTCGATTATAGATAATTATGTGTAATTATATGCAGACTCGATACGCATAGAATACTAGTACATGTATATAAATAAAATGCCTTACCTACTACACAAATGGTATCAGAGTTGTTGCAAAATTTCAACCACCACCCTCAAAAAAACTCTTTTTTCTCCCTTTGATACAAGAAAAATTGGACTTAATCAATCTAAATATAATGCAGTTGCTGTGGATTAATTTGCAATGGAAGATTATGAGCTTAAATTCAATGTATATGTGAGGGAGACAATGAAAATGGAGCAAAGAGCTGGTTATGAAGGTTGTTAATAAACATGGATATATATATATATATACACATAGGCCAGGCAAGGTGGTGAGTTGAATATTTGTATTGTTTGAATGCAAGGTCAACAAAAGGAGACGAAAAGGTGAAGGTTCTTTTAGATATATGGATATATTCTGATTTGAAAGCAATTTGTGTGGTCTGCTATAAGCAATGTCACATTGAGAATTTTTTTTTTTTTTAAATGAAAGTTTGAAGTCTGTAAATCATCTTTATTTTGAATGTAGATCATGTACACTAAATTTAAATTTATCTTATACATTTTAAATATTTTTTAATTAATTTTTCTGAATACATAAAATTTACGAATTGACTATTTATTATATTATCCTATGTAGTTGTGTTCAAAATCCATGAAACCATATAGATAATACAAATGTTGAAAGTTAAGTCACCTAAGAAAATTGAATATAATAACATATATATATTTTTTTTGTGTGTGGATGAAAATTATTCTAATTCTTATTTATCTACTTATTATTTATTATGTTTTAGATGTGTGATTTGAAAAATTACTTTATTTGTGCTCTCGTTGATCATATTCAAATTTGAATCTTACTTTTTATGATGTTAAACTAATACAACAATATTAAGTAGTTCAAAATTTTGTGGCTTAAATAGCTCAAATCATTCAAAATGACGTCGTTTTGAGTGTAAATGAGTATAAAACGACATCGTTTTGACAAATTTGAGCCATTTGAGCCATAAAATTTTGAGCTACCAAATATTTTCCAAACTAATATATATATATATATATATCACATGAAATTGGTCCCTTGTCGTATTCATTACATAAAAATTAAAATACTTTGGATGAGAATGAGACTCACCAAAGTGAAGTTGATGCCAGCAGGTTGCAAATAAAAACATTTGGTTGCGTCACACAGTCAATGACATGCAAGTTGCACCAAAAAATAACAATGACATGCAAGGTTTTTTTGAGAGGATTATTCCAAAAACAATTATCAATCAGCTTACTTGTTTTCATTTTTCAGAAAATACTTTTCAGAAAATTCTACATTCTTATTTTCCGTATTTTTTTATTTTACTGAATTTTTTTAATATTTTAAACAATTTTTTTTTTATTTTTTAAACACACCTAGGACCATCTCCAACGGTGAACCAAATTCAGTATCAAATTTGAATTTGATGAAAAAAGTCACTTTTTTTCCTCCAATGGTTTCACCAAACCGATATCAAACTAAGAACGGAGCAAATTTTTCATCAAATTGAGAATCTGCGTGAACCTTCATCAATTCACCGTGCTGTAACGTTGCAAGTGGGGCCACGGTCAACCTACTGGACGTCTGGCCGGTCGACCAACTGGTAAAAGGTTCAAACAAGTAAAAAAAAAAAATTATTTGCCTTACCAATCGACCGGCCGGTCGACCCCTGCCTTTGATGACAACCATTGGAGCAGCCTATATCAGATTGAGAAAATGGTCTTTTTTTTGCTCAGATGTGATGAAAAAAAAGGCTAACCATTGGAGATGCTCTAACATAAATACACCTAAAAAGTAAAAAAATTATAAATATTTTTTTTTTAAATTCACTAAATACAAAAAATACAAAAAAAATACAAGAATTCAGTACATTTTTTTATATTTTTATGTATTTATTAATTTTTAAAATATTTTTTCACAAATTTTTTACTTTTTAGATACATCTAACTAAGGTACATCTAAAAAAGTAAAAAAAAAATATTTAAAATTTAAAAAATATTCACCAAAAATAAAAGAATACGAAAACTAAAAAACTTAGTTTTCAAAAAATTTAATCCAGAAAACTCAAACAAAACACACTGATTAATTTTCTTTTACACAATACTGGGTGTGGAATCCATATTATATTAGAGCTACACTCATGTGAGTTTTGTATAAAAAATTTTATAATTTATTTGGTGTCTCTAATATTTGTAAAATTCTATTAGCAGCTTATGTAAACACAATTTGAAAGGATAGAAGCATCCAAAAAATTTTAAAAAGCTACAAAGATATCAAATATTTTAAAATGCGCATCACCATGTAGAAAATAACATGGTACTAGGAGTACTTAATAATTATCCAAGATAAATTGAGTTATAGACTATAATGTTCCATTTTGATACATGGATTAGAAATTTGAAATTTGAAATTTGAAATTCAACTTTATTAAATTGTAAGAAGGTTGATTGATGTATATAGATTGACAAATGTAAAATAATGGATACATAAAGATGCATAATATTTTTATACAAGTAGAATCATTCATGACAGGATTTCAAAAATCATGTTTATTTTATTTTCAACAACATTTTGAGAGTCGTAATTAAACTTATCATAATGAGTTGTAAACTATACCACTTACTTTATAACCAAACACTACAATGTATCAAAATTATTTTTGATTTGATAATTTGCTAGTCTCATCACCACAACAAAATGTAACCAAGCACTACAATAATTTATATGGATGTAATATAAATAATAAAGTTATTCATTTTTTTAACATCTATAGTTTTTCTTTTTGGGAACAGAAAGGGGGATATATATTAAGAATTAGTAGTAATTACATCATTGTGAAGCAAACAACTCAACTCATGGGAAGGCAAAGCAACCTAGTTATCCAGTAAAAGTAAAAGTGTATGTGCATGAGCAACCTAATGTGCAACTTTGATAATCAATAATTCAATATAGTATCAGAGTAAACAATATATATCCTAGGTTTCGAACCTAGTTGATTAAAAGTATAGCTTTCCTAGGATAAACATAAAATGTATTATAGAATGAATGACTCCTATTTGAAATTGACCAAACATTTTTGTTCTTGCTTTTGGACAGAGACGTCTTAATTCTCTTTGGCATCCACAAAAGAAATTGAAAAAATAAAGCGAGAGAGAGAACAAAATATATTCCTCAGCTTTTAAAACACCTCTATCCTCTTTTGAAGAAGGAATAATAAGAGAGCTTGCAATTTCAAAATTTTTTGTACAACCATTGATGTACCTCTCAAAATTGTGCTATGCCACGAACCGCCCTCGCATTCTTCTTTATCTTCTGTATTGGACCATTTCTACACCCACCTGGTTTTCATGTGCCATATCTTATCCCCCTTCTCTCTCTCAATTGTGTCCATGCTAATGTTGATGCATGGACTCACTTTTTCCTTATCCTTAGATTTTCATGTATGTATATTTTAGGGTGCATGAATGTTTAGATATATAGGCTTAGCCTAATTGGCCACTTTGATTTTCTTAAGAATTTAGTCCCTAAGGGGACGTTATGGGTTTAACTCACCTTAGAGGAGTTGAATTAAGAGGGTAAGCACTGCTTTGCAAAGGGAGGGGAGGCCAACTCCCATAAGTGCTAATCTAACGACTAACAACTGACTTTCACCGATTAAAAAAAATGTTTTGATATATAGTTTGACATTCATGAATGATGAAGGAGAGGAAGTGATATTCATGTACACCAAGGATTGAGAATATTGAAAAGCAGTTGATATCAAGCACCGGACGAATGATTCTAACTTCAGGAATTAACGTGCACGTAATAAAAATTTTATATACTAAAAGTTGATAAAATTTCTAACTAGTAATACTATTGAAATACGAGAATTTTTTAAACTTAATTTTGAGAAGTAGTTGCCACCAGCCGCCTCTTAGTCTATTCGTGGTTGATAGAGATTACTCTTGGAACCATATTTAGACGATAATTGTATGATAGTTTTATGATACCATTTTATATTAATGAATGTATTGACATAGACACAAAAAAATAAAAACTTGTACTCAATGTATTTTGATCGACATTATTAGTCTTTTAAAATTATAATAATTATCATAAGATGCCCGTCATATATTCTTCTCGTGAATACACCAACCAATTTAATCATATTTTAGAAAATTTTAGGTTAAATTTTTCCACTCTAAAATTACATATACTTGCTATAAAACAGAAAATATATATATATCTATATTTATATATGCAAATAGGCATGCATGTATATTACAATATGTGTATATAAATTTTGAATAGTTATCATGCAAAATATTCGAATTGGTGACGACAAGCCCAAAAAAAAGTGAAATTGTTTTCAAATTTATACAACTTCACGTGATCTCAAGCTTTCAAGATAGTAATAGTTTTGGACTTGTCTCTGATCTACAAAGTGGACTGAATTGGTGTTGCGAGGGATTTTTGCATACATTTATAAAAAATATTAACAATAATTTTATTTTGTCATTGCAAAAAAAAAATTGTTATTTTTGTCAGCAAATAATATTCCTGATGGAAAAGACCTTTACTCCCTTAATTAAGTTTATTTTCAATCTATTTACTGATTAAGTTGATCAAATAATCATTATCACAAGATTTAATTATTTTTATGATAGATTAGATGATTAATTACGATTATTAAATTGATTTGATTTTTTTCATGAATTAACTAATTTGATTATCGAAATAAGTTACATATAATAGGCCTAATAACTAAACTAGATCGTGCAATCCATTTAATAGACAGGATAGAAACCCAATCATTTTTCTTTTTCCCGTAAGAAGAATGAAGGATGAAAAAAAAAACCTTGAATAAGAAAAATTAAAATATATTAACTCGAAAAAGAATTGCACCAAGATAACAAAAGGTTAAAAAGCAAGATGTTTGTACCTGCTTGGTGTTGGTCTATCATCTTTAATGACCCCACTTTAAATTTAAAGAAAAAATTCAGATGAGCATGAAAATTTTAAAATAATTACAAAATAGTAGAAAACTTTATTGATATTAATAATTAAAATTATAACATTTTTCATATATATGTAATAATTTTCTCGAATCCCCTCTCATAGTAATTTCTCCTAAATTTGATAGCTGTCCAAGTTCTAGATACAGAATGAAAGATAGTCAAGTGTTTGTTCATTGATGTCATGAGGCTTAAGTGACTGATAACGATGAGCTCTAGGTCCATAATCACCCTTTCTAGTTTAAGTATTTCAGGTTCGTTTGGCATGAAGGTTTCGATTGGGTTGAGACTATTTTAGTCATAAAAAGATAAAATAAATTTTTTAACTTAATAAGATAAAATCTCACATCTAAATTATAATCATTTCATTTCTTCTCTTATAAAATTCAAAAAATTCAAAAAATCCATTCTAAAACGAGACTTTTTAGCCCCAAGTTAAAATAGTCAAATAGCTAAGAAATCAAAAAATCAACCCGCATCCCAAACGAAAGCCAATATTTTTTCTTTCCTTCTTTTCCCACTCATCATTTTCTTAGCAACCAAAATGGAAAATGTGTATTATCATATATGACAGTTTTTAGTATGTGTTATCAAAATGGAGAATTTTTTTTTTTATCGACATTCTCTTTCTTTTTTGAAAAACTTACGGGTAAATTTTAATAAGTGAACTTATTGTTCAATAAGTCTTGTGAAAAATAATAACATTAAACGTCACTAATTGTTAATTTTAAATGACAGTTTGAAAATTATCACAAAAAAATGTCACTAATGATAAGTTTTAACAATAATTTAAAAAATTGTCACAAAAAAGGTCACAAATTTTTAATTTTTAGCGATGGTTTAAAAAATTTATCATAGAGAAATGTCACTAATTATAAGTTTTAGTGACAATTTATAAAAAATCGTGACAAAAAAGTCACTAATAGTTAATTTTTAGTAACATGTACAAAAAATCATCACAAAAAAATATTTTTAACGATAATTTTACTAATACTTATTTTCAATAGAATTTGATAAAAATTAAATTCAATTATGAATATCTATTGGTAATTTTCTCTTCTTTCTTTTTTATTGGGGATTTCACTTTCATTTTGTGAATTGGATGCGAAAAAAAGAAGGTCCCGATTGGATAAATCCGATCGACTTCTTGATCTCCACCTCAACAGATGCCTCCTACACATACACATCAGAAAGTTCCCTCAGGGAAAGCAATGCACCATACTGGATTGGACTGTGTAGTCTGAATCCACGAACCCATTGAGTTTTATTTTTGATTATTTGATTTTTTATTTTTTAAGTCTTGATGTGTAAGTTATTCATGAACATTAAATTGATATGATAATTGGTAGTTATATGATTTTATTATTTAAAAAAAAGAGAGTCTAATTTCAAAATTATACTTTTTATTTATTTAAATATATATATACGATAATCGGATCAATTTGATTTTTTCACAAATAATTTATACATAAAAGGCGAAAAGTTATTGAATAACAGGTTCACATATCCAAATTAAATGATGTAATTTGTAACAATAGACTAGATACAAGCTGGGCTATGACGATAACCTTGTTTGTACTATGACGATAAGATGGGTTTTGCTTATAATTTTTAAATTTTGATAGTAATTTTTTTTTTTATCTAGCTGGACTTTAAGGCTTGGTTTAGGAAGTGAGCTGACTTTTTAGCTTTTTGACTTTTTTGGCTATTTTAGCCTATGCTAAAAAGTTTGATTTGGAAAGGGTTTTTTGGCTTTTTTGACTTTTTTTGTGAGAGAAGAGTGTAATGATTATGGGTTGGATGTGATATTTTGTTTGTTGCGGCTAAAATAGCCTATTTTATTTTTTGTGGCTAAAATAGCCAAAAAAGTCTCAAATCTTGCTTCCCAAACGGTGCCTTTTTATTTTTTATTTTTTAAGTCTTGATGTGTAAGTTATTCATAAACATTAAATTGATATGATAATTGGTAGTTATATGATTTTATTATTTTAAAAAAAGAGGGTCTAATTTCAAAATTATACTTATTATTTATTTAAATATATATATATGATAATCGGATCAATTTGATTTTTTCACAAATAATTTATACATAAAAGGCGAAAAGTTATTGAATAACAGGTTCACATATCCAAATTAAATGATGTAATTTGTAACAATAGACTAGATACGATCTCAATCCTTTAATTAATTAGCAACATAACCTTGTTTGTACTACGACGATAAGATGGGTTTTGCTTATAATTTTTAAATTTTGATAGTAAATTTTTTTTTTATCTAGCTGGACTTTAAGCCGATTCATCGGGTCGGGTCGGGTCATTGATACAAACCTCATGATGATCAGTTCTTGGTGAGAGAATCATATATTTATTTGGATTTAAAAGCGAATATTGAAGAAGAAAAAAGAAAAGAAAAAGAGTTTGTCGGTATATGCAATACGAAGCTGCAACATCAACATGTCTCTGTTTCCTGTATGCAGAGATTCGTTAGCGGGCAACTTTATTTTATTTTATTTGTTTCTTGAGACACATCAATCTCTCTGCCAACCAATCATCAATGGATAATTAGGACTCTAAACAAAAATATCTTATGGAACACATATTATTCTCTCCCTCTTTTTCTCCCATTGCTTAACAGTAATTTTAGAAATTAAGAAACTAAATGCACAATTAAAGGTGGCTTTCAGAAGTGTCAAATAAATTATTTATTTATTTTTTGTTTATTATGAAAAAACATACAAAAATAAAAATGTGATGTACAAATAAATTAAAAAGTCAATAAACTGGTTCATAAGTTATTTTCCAAAAAAAACATAAATATAGAAAATACATGAATTGATAGACAAAAATTTTCCAATATTTATTAGTGGGTTCACTTTAAAAAAAAAATTGTCAATCAATTAGGGTGTTTGGTACAGTTTATAGTTTTTTTTTTTTATATATATATAATTTTTTAGAGTATGTATTAGAATTTTTAATGCTACATATCTTTATAACTTATGAGAAAAATAACTTAAACAAAATGAATAAAATTGATTATTAAAAATTTAAGAGACAAATATTTTTCACTTCTGCATTTTATTTATCAGTTTTTGATCAACTATACAAAATGAGCAAAATAATTTTTTTTATATTTGATTCTATATATGATTTCTACATTATTATAAACTTATCGATTGTCTTATCCATCGCTCACCCCATCCTATATAAGTGTATCCATGTGAGTTCAAATTCCTCACAACAAAACCCAAGTGTTCTCACAATCACCAAACCTCACATTTTCTCTACTTCCACTTCCATACTAGTTCTAAACCTCCATTTCCTACTTGAGCAATCTCAGAAACCTTTTAGCAATTCAAAAAAACAATCTAGTACTCATCTCCAGTTTATAGGCAAATACTAGAATTCTTAGCATATTTTAAGTTACTAAAAATGGATAAGGTGACAAGGATGGCGTCCGAAAGGCCAGTGGTGATCTTCAGCAAGAGTTTTTGTGGTCTGAGCCACACCATTAAGACTTTCTTCTCTGAGTTTGGTGTCAACTCAGCCGTACACGAGCTCGATGAAATAGCAATGGGTAAGGAAATCGAGCAAGCTCTTTCAAGGCTTGGTTCCAATCCTACCGTGCCTGCAGTGTTCATTGGTGGTGAATTTGTGGGTGGTTACAATGAGATTACTACTCTTCACCTTAGGCAAGAGTTAATTCCAATGCTTCGACGTGCAAGGGCTATATGGGTTTGATGTTATGCCATGCATATCTGGCTTAATAAACATGGGATCATTTGTTTAGATCTACTTGTTTCCAAGTCTCTTTGCGTTGTTTAGTAGAGAGGGTATTTGAGACAACAATGCTAAGTATCATAAAAAAACCTTTCATGAAAATAATCATGAAAACTTTGTGACTCTTGAATTACACTTAGAATAAAGTACCACACACTAATCAAAGTAATCCAAGAATCATAAATCTTTCATTATCATTTTATGAAAAAAATTTCATAATCCCTAACTTTTCTTGGCCAGTGGTGATCTTCAGCAAGAGTTTTTGTGGTCTGAGCCACACCATTAAGACTTTCTTCTCTGAGTTTGGTGTCAACTCAGCCGTACACGAGCTCGATGAAATAGCAATGGGTAAGGAAATCGAGCAAGCTCTTTCAAGGCTTGGTTCCAATCCTACCGTGCCTGCAGTGTTCATTGGTGGTGAATTTGTGGGTGGTTACAATGAGATTACTACTCTTCACCTTAGGCAAGAGTTAATTCCAATGCTTCGACGTGCAAGGGCTATATGGGTTTGATGTTATGCCATGCATATCTGGCTTAATAAACATGGGATCATTTGTTTAGATCTACTTGTTTCCAAGTCTCTTTGCGTTGTTTAGTAGAGAGGGTATTTGAGACAACAATGCTAAGTATCATAAAAAAACCTTTCATGAAAATAATCATGAAAACTTTGTGACTCTTGAATTACACTTAGAATAAAGCACCACACACTAATCAAAGTAATCCAAGAATCATAAATCTTTCATTATCATTTTATGAAAAAAAATTCATAATCCCTAACTTTTCTTTACTTGAGATAGAAAAAAATAAGAATAAAAAATTCAATCTTGTGTTTTGGTTATATATAATAGTGACATTGAGTGTCGAGTATAGAATCATAGAGAGAGCTTACTGAAGTTTTAATGACACTAGAAATAACTATGTACTTCAGGATTTTATGTTTGATTATGTAATATCATCGAGTTTTTGCTAATAAAGATAGTAATGTTGAGATTATAATAATTAGTTTATTATTAATTTCTTCAAGGCCTTCATTATTTTGAGAGCAAATGTCAAATGTGCCTACACTTTGCATGAACAAGATGACTCTTTAGGGTTTATAGGTTTTGCACAATGTTCATTTTAAATTTTACATAATACTTTATAGAGAAAATTTTACCAATAAACAATTCATATCATTAAAATAGGTTGAATTAAGCCCATTAAACTCAACAACCTTGTCAAATGTGCCTACACTTTGCATGAACAAGATGACTCTTTAGGGTTTATAGGTTTTGCACAATGTTCATTTTAAATTTTACATAATACTTTATAGAGAAAATTTTACCAATAAACAATTCTATAGGTTGAATTAAGCCCATTAAACTCAACAACCTACTAAGCCCACTGAACTCAACAAGTACAAAAACGATGGAAGCCCATAAAAAAAAAAAAAAAAGACCCTGAACAATAAGGCCCAACTCATACATTTTAGGCATCAATTAAAGTTAGATAAAATATAAGTTTACTAATTAAAATTAGACTTATAAAATGCGTCTTAAATAAAGAGAATAATGTGATAATTTATTGTCATTTGGCAACTTAATTGAAAGTGAGTTGGGATTAAAAAATTACAAAATACAAAATAGGTTAAATAAATCAATATAATAAAATATCACATTCAAATCATAATTATTTCATTTTTTTAAAAAAAAGAAATCAAAAAATTCTAATTAATAGACTAAATTAGTCCAAAAATTAAAAAATCAGACTAAAAAAATTATATTTAATATATTAATTTTTTGATTTTTTTAATTATAAATCACACTCGCTGAATTAGTAGTAATAAAATTTGTATTTGTGTTTTTAGTAAAATGAAATTGGTCACACAGTGAATTGCGTGGCAGTGAATTATAACTTTTCAAGTTTCAATTGAGTTAGTAGTAATAAAATTTATATTTATGTTTTTACTAAAATGAAATTGGTCACACAGTGAATTGCGTGGCAGTGAATTATAACTTTTAAGTTTCATTTTAGCCGCGTGAGATTTAGGCCTAGTTTGGTATCACTTAAAAAAAAGTTAAAAACTTATTATTTTATTTAAATTATAACATCTTATTTAAATCATATCATTTTTTTAATAAATTACATCAAACTCAATCTATATTCAACTCATATTTCATAAAAAAATTAAAAAGTATACTTAGGCCTCTTTTGGGAACCAACCCATTTAATTAAAAAGTCAAAAAGTTACTAAAAAAGTCAAAAAATCAATATTCCATACTAAAAAGTCAAAGATTCTATTTTCTCTTTATTTTTTATATATTTTTTTATAAAAAGATATGGATGTTTGGGTTAACTTTTTGACTTTTTATTAAAAAATGTGTAATAAAAAATTGTAAAAATTGATTTGTAGGAAAAAATTTGAATTGGGAGTTGTGCAGCCGTAATTGTTGACTTTTGGTGAATAGTGTTAACTTTTTAATTTTTTGACTAACTTTTTGGCTTTTTGGCTTTTTTTAAAGTCCCCAAACTTGGCCTTAGGCCTAGTTTGGTAGGACTTAAAAAAAGTTAAAATTTTATTATTTTATTTAAATCATAACACTTTATTTAAATCATATCATTTTTTTAATATATCACATCAAACTCAATCTATATCAAACTCATATTTCATAAAAAATTAAAAAGTATACTTAGACCTCTTTTGGGAACCAACCATTTAATTAAAAAGTCAAAAAGTTACTAAAAAAGTCAAAAAGTCAAAAAATCAATATTCCAAACTAAAAAGTCAAAGATTCTATTTTCTCTTTATTTTTTACACATTTTTTTATAAAAAGTCAAAAAATCATCCTAAATACACTAATTTTTTTTAACTCATATTTTAACTAAATAATTAAAAAATTATTAAATTAACCTGATCCAAAATAAGACCTTATTTAGACCATGCAAAATGCTTCGGACTCCCCTGGGGTCGACCCCAATGAGGTGTAGTTCCATAATTAAGTAAAAAAAAAAATTTATTTATTTGTTTTTTCTTTTAAATTTTCAGTATGTGAGGGCACACCGCGTCACTGGGGCGCGACCGCACTGGGTCTGCAGCACTTCTCTTTAGACCATTCATTCATAAGATTCTCTGCTGGATGGAACACCATGTTCCCAATGAAAAATTGTGTGCCCCAATTGGCCCCCATTTGCCGCACGCAATAAATGCCACCTCTCTCTTTCTCTCTCTTCTATCTCTTTCTCGAGTAACTAAAACCACATCACCAAACGGTCATCTTTTTACCCAAACATCAGAAGATTTGCGTGTTTCTCACTCCCGGGGCACTTTAGAATCACCCTCAACAACACAGCAATTTAAAGGCCATTTTTTTGTTTTTTGGATCGAAATTTAAAGGCCATGTTTGGTGTGACCTTGTTACACCTTTTTTTTTTAGCCCCTCTAAACTCATATCAATTTTATTTTTGATTTTTTATATTATATTGTATTAATTTAATTTAATAATATCTAATTTGAAAGTGATACATTTTCTTTTAAATGGAACATAATCTTTTATTGATTTTTGTTCAATTTCTTAGAACGAATGTGGTTGATTATAATAGGTTAATATGAAAATACAATAAGCGAAATTGATATAAAAGACAAATTACAAGACTTATTGTGTGGATGTATTTTCTGAATACCAACACGTGGCATGGTGATGCCGATGTGTCAGCCGAGGTGCCACGTGTCCTGGTAGTTCTGTCGAGGTTACCTAAGCAAGACCGAGGTAATCTCCGAAGATATCGGAATCCAAGATAAGCGGATAAGGGACAAGAGTCCTAGAGTAAAGAGAAGACTTTGCTAAGATAAGGATAAAGCTCTTAGGGAATTTATCTTTATCTCTTGAAGTGTCCAAAGTCGACATTGAATTGGAATCCATAGAAGTCAGACTTATAGTGGGACTTAGATTTAGTAAACTATAAAAGAGAGGCACCCCCGTGGGTCTAAGGTACGCAATTTTATACTTAAGCTTGTGAGTTTAGCACTTGATTATCTTTGAGAGATATACTGACTTGATCGTCAGAGTGCCCCCGGGTGGAGGAGCCACCGCCGGAGCCTTTTCTTTCTGTTGCAAGTTCCTTGAAGCCATCTATTCTGCCGGTACTCTCCAGCTGATTACTAGGCGGGCAGTGTGGTCGGAAAATCACCCACACAATTTGGCGCCGTCTGTGGGAATCTTAGAAGAATAGATGGCTAGTGACGGACAGAGGGAAAACATTGGGGGCGACACTCCTGTTAGGAGTGGCAGACCAATTGATCTTCACGTTGAAGGAGACAACCACAGTACAGAAAATCATGACCAGGGCCACGGAGAGAAAGACGTCGGCCAGGAGGGCGGTACTTCGAAGCGAACAGACCAAAGCAAGTATTATAACGAAGATAACCTTCAGGTATGGAGGGATAGGTGCCTACGGAGAGATGAGGAAGTAAAAGACTTGGCAAACAAGTTGGCAGATCTACAGTCAGTGGTCAACTTCATGATGCAAAACAATGTTATGCAGCCACCATACCCGCTGCAAGATACGCCGATGCCGGCAATTAACACCCAGAAGGGAGGAAAAAAAGCAATCTCCGAAGCCCCTCAGCACACCAAGAATGGAAGGCACTCACACCGACCTTCCAGGGAAGTCGGACGAGAAGAGCCGAGGCAAGAAGAGTCCCGAAGAATGAAGGATCCAGGGCCCAAAGAACATCGGCATGTTCAAGGGCAGGCACTCTGCTTTGACACAACCCATGGAGAAAGATCAAAACGGGCCCACCACGAGGCCGAAAGCAGTGTTCCAAAAAGATTGAAGTCCAGAGATAGCCGAGCTCCAGGTAGGAGTAAGGAGGACTTGAGGGATTACCTCAAAAGGAGGCAGCAGAATTTGTGCGAGAGCTTTTGAGGCAACGACAACATCGGTATGATAATGTGTTTGTGGCATTTTATATGAATAATTTCAATATGTTACATTTGCTAATAGTTATTGTTAGGGGTGAGCAGCGGATATACCGATCCGCCAAAACCGACCGAACCAAACCGATCCGCCACATTTTGGACGGATGCGTGATGACGAGCGGACGGTTGCGGATTGATTTTCTCAAATCCGCCAATTTGGTGGACGGATGGCGGATTTGAGATTTTTTGGCCGTAACCGAACCGCCAAACCGCCAAATCACGAGCACCCCTAGTAATTTATAAGACTTTGTATTTTCAATTTGTTTAAATATTATGTTTGTGTTTTCAATTGAAAAAGAGTTTAAATATTTAGTTGAAAAAAAGTTTTCAACTAGAATATATTTTTTGAATTGAAAAAAATAAACGTATTATTCATATATATTTTTTAGTTTTTAAATGTAACTCTAAACATAATAAATAGAAAATATGATATATGCTGGTTGGTTTTTGTTTTCAAAAACATATGTAGATGTAACAATACAGAGACATTCAATCTCTACTACTGCTCTGTTCATGGTTTTGGTGGAATGAATTGTTGTTATATTTTAAGAATCACAGATTGTAATATTTTATGGGGATGAATCATGCTGTGATTGTAATATGTGGATGAGGCATGCAGTGATCGTGATATTCTAAAGTTTCAAACTTTTTTTTCTTTGGATAAGGTATACAATGATTGTAATACTTTTTTAAGTCATTGACTGTAATACTTTCTTTTTCTTTTTTTTCTTTTTTTTTTATTTGAGGAAGTGCACAAGTTGAATTATGTTGAAAATTTATAAAATTTTAAACCGCCAAACCGATTCGCATCCATCCGCCAAACCGCCAATCCGCTCAATCCACATCCGCCGGATTGGCGGACGGATGCGGATTGATTTTCTTCAATCCGCCAATCTGGCGGACGGATGGCGGATTGGAGGTTCCGTGGCCGCAACCGACCCGCGCCCACCCCTATAATACACGTATATTTATACTTGATCTTTTATGAAATTTACACTAAAATGAGATTTTGGGATTCAACAAAAAAAAAAAGAAGAA